GGTATTCCATTGCAATCGATTTATTATTTTGTTATATACATATTTACCATTTATAGTACTATATAATACGGCTATGATTATAGAACGCCGTTTAACACGCACACAAGTTTTAGCGCAAATGTATCTTTTTACAGGACCAAATAAAATCGTATATTTTAATTATTTTAAGGTGAAATAACGATTATTCCTATCCTTAGGGATGAAGTATGAAAGGATGAATTGTGAAATGTAATGATGAAAAGAAAATTCCCATCCCTGAACACTCTTATTTTACGTTTATCATTACTTCTCACAGTTCATCCTTTTATACTTCATCCTAAGGTTAGGAATAGTCGTTATTTCTACCTAAAATAAATCACTTTTTTTTCCTGTAAAAAGAAGCATTTGTGGTAAAACTCGTTAAACGTCGTTCAAAGAGAGCAAGGTATCTTCCAATCTCAACATCAAGATGAAATATCATATCTCTAAATTCAGTGATATATGAGCATAAAACGTCGCCAAATAGAACATAACTCCGCCTTTGCCGGTCTCAAGCCCGGATAATAAAGGAGGAAGGGGAGCAGTAACAAGCTCACTAAAAACCTGGGTTCAGCTGACCCGGCTGATAGTACCCTGTAAGGGCTCCTATTCCAGGGATACAGGATGAGCCATGTTAGGAGCAGCTGCACATGTCAGAGGCAGCCTTTTTTTTTTTTTTTTTTTTTGGAGCTGAGTCGGCCTGCCAATGAGTAGTGCTCCCAATCTTAATGAAAAAGGCGGACGGATTCTACTTCACCCAGTCATGATGGTTGTCAAACAGACATCATCAATGGTCACAATTTGATACCCTAATATGATTGAGTGGAGATAACTGATGACTTCAAATATTTCGACTTGCCTACAAACTAGAAGTTACGAGGTACGTCCCATTACGTCTTCCATGTATCTATATAAAACCTTCGACCTGTGCATTTTCCTGATAGCCATCATTATTTATTTATAAGTGTACAATATAACTGTTAAAATGACAATTCTCTCTGATTTCTAAATATAACAATATAAGAATTATTGTTATGGATCAGTGACTTGCCACTCTGTTGTATTTCAATGTATATAAATAGATGTTTCAGTGTAATGTGGTATCTTACCTTTTATTGTGACCGTTCAATAAAATCCTTCGGTGATCAGTTCCTTTTCCTATCTACCTTCTTTTTTTTTTCAAAAATAACACGTAATCTACAATTTTTAAAGTTTATCATTAGAATATTCGTCTATCTATATTTATTTCTAGACGAATTGTCAGTTCTACAAACGGGTTCAGAACACACTTACGAGATACAGTCCTATAAAATACCTATTAAAGCTTTATTTGGAATATAATACTTTACTAGTAATTTTAGATAATAAGGTAAACGTCTAAGTATGAGCATCTTTTTTATTAAACTTTTTCGAGGTTTCGGGGAACACCCTTCTACAGGAGAAATTGATACAAAATAAAACTTAACTATGCTATGGCAAGTTATATGTACATTATGTAAATATATATGATATTATGTAAATTTAATAATGTACATATATCTTGCAATAGCATAGTTAAATTTCATTTTGTATTAATTTTCCTGGAGAAGGGCGTTACTACGTAAGCTAAAAAAAAACGTTTAATTAAAAAGATACTCATACTTAGACGTTTACTTCATTATCTAAAATTAGTAAAGCTTTGCCATAATAATGTTTATAATTATGACAACAAGGGATCCGGGAGAAAAAAACAATATTTAAGTTAGTGTCATGTTATATAGAGTAAAAAATTATACTGATACATTAAAGTTCCATTCTTTCACCTTACTTAAGATGCTGATCTTTTGTAATAAGAAAGGACAAATTGATAATTTCATTCCTTCATTTTAGAATCTTCTTCGTCTACCTGGATTCTCGATGGTATAATGAGTATAATTATTGGGCCAAAATTTCAATAATTCTTAATATATAAATATTATTTATCATAGTGTAAATCCGTTTGTTGGACAGGTCGTTCAATATATATTATACGGTGCTATGTTATGGACGAGCATTAATGAAAACCTACAACGGACATCTACAAGCAAACGTTTTAAAAAGTTGAAATATAGTTTTAATAAATATAATAAAAATAAGTTTTAAAAATGTCTAAAAACGATACAATGTTATACCTAAAAATCCCGTGAACTCGACAGTTTCCATTTGCCAACACTCTATGTATATTTTTATAGTTTGCAGTAATAAAATCTGGTATAGAAAGGTATTTAGAATATAAAATACAATTTGATTAAATTATTCAGAAATTAAATATAAAGTATATGAAGGCAAAATAAACTAATATAACTTTTCTTTCATTATTACAGGTAAATTTAAGACTGGGACTCACAAAGACTCTACCTTGACTGTTGACCTCTATACACTATGGACAAAACTTAAGGAAGTAGAAAGTCATTGATGTCTTCCGAGTTCTGATTTTTTTTTTTTTTTTTTGAAGGAGACAGAGGTAGTTTTGTACACGCCTGTTTATCTCGTGTGTCTTCAATAAAGGTCAATTTGTATTAGATATATCCAAATATATTATCTTAATCCTGATATAGATGCTGAAAGGTGCACCTTCTATAAGTTTATTCCATGGGTGTATATAACAATGGATTCTTTATAGCCTCACTATTATTAGGATTATTTTTATGAACATTCACTTGATATTTAATGGATAAGAATAAAACGAAATTTCTCTTTGTATCCGCATCTTTATGCCATTGACCTAATATAGTAAGTACATATAAATTTAGAAGCAGGTTTCGATTTTAAGATCAAGTAAGTGCTTTCCTCTATATTAGGATGGGGAGTCATAGACTTATACCCCCGGTCTCTGCTCGGCCTACTGGTATAGCTGTTCTAGAATTGACCATCCACATTTAAACGCCAGGTAGGAATATCCCCTTTCAAGAAAATAGTACCACGTATTATTCACAAGGATTAAGACATATTCCACAATCTTTCAGTAAATTGGAGGACTCTCAACATGCAGCAATACTTTTATTATAAGATTCGTATTTTGTATAGTTCATAATCAATAAAGGTTTTACAATATTTCAATGAATGTGAAATTTGAATTGATCGGATAAATCTCTATACGTATATCCATGAAAATATTTATGATATATTTATTTACTCACACAAAACAACACAGACACACACAACACACACATAAACCCAACACACACAGCATCACACAACACGCACAAAACACACAGCACAAACACAAAACACATCACAAGTAAAACACACACAACATAACACACATCGTTAGCGCTATTATTAAAAAAGGACTCGAGCCTTTCTCAAAAGTTTTTATATATATAAAAGTAGGTATCTGATGAAGAGCGAAAACTTCAGTCAACATAAAATAACTTATTTGTTTAGAATAGGTGTGGATTTACCTTCAAAATGTTATTTATAAGACATTCAAAATGTCAACATACTAACGTACTATGCCCAGAAACGCCTTATAAACAGAATTATAAATGAAATAGAAGGTTCTGCCAACACTGTGCGCACGCGTGACTTATTTGATGACTAATAAGATAATTTATGTGCGTTTACTGTTGAATACCCAAGTGTTGTTTATGTATCCCCATTACATTATCATCACGCCGTTATTGTATGCACACCTGAGGTAAACAGGTTCACTTTCACAATATTTAATTATGCTTCAAGGGATATATCTTGTGCGCCATGGTGCATCATAAACACGATGTTTACTTCGAAATAGCGATAAGTATGAGTGGGATACGCCTAGAACAGAATGATGTCTTAGAAAATTGTCAATAGTCAGGAAATCCTGTTTATAAATAACATATAGTGCCATTTATAGGTGGAAGTGTAAACTCTCTCTCTCTCTCTCTTCACGCGGTGGGCGCCACCAATGAAGACCTTGTATATATATTTATATATATATATATGTATATTTTTCATCTATTTTATCTATTTACATCTATTTATTCATATATCTATCATTATTAATCTTATTTATTCATTTTATGTATTTAACCTTATATAATCTTATATGGACTTTGAAATAAAGTAGTTTCAATCTCAATCTCTCTCTCTCTCTCTCAATTATCATTATTTGTTTAATATATTTCGTTCTATATATTTTTTTAATTCAAAAATTACTACAACCACCAAATAAAAGTTGAAAATATTGATTCTTTAATGGTGAACGTTTCCAGCCATTTCGACTATATGGCTAAAAGTTAAATTTATTCTGTTTACTTCTATAGTCTGCATTTTCTTCCTAATTCTAAAATGGGGACTTGAATGTCTTTCAAGAACAGAAATTGTCTGACAAACGCGACATGATGCAACTTATCAATTAGTTCCAGAGGTTTAAAATTTTGACCTTGTCAAAATGTTAAATTTACATATTGAAATATTGAAAGTTTATAAAGATCCTCAGGGATTTGGCGAGGGAATGTTACGTAATATCAAAGAATAATTGATTGGATAATAATTTATTACTGAATAAATATATCGTTATACACCTAAATCAAAATTGACCTAAAATCTTGTAGCTGCTTGCATATATTATTTTATTAGCCGAATAACCCGGGCAACGCCCGGGTTTTACCCGATTTTTTTTTTATTTAAATACTATTCGTTACAATTATAAATTGGAGCTGTGGATGTCACTCTTGTGAAACGTCCCGCTCCAAACTTTACATGTACATTAGGTCAGCTGGTATTACCCCCCATTTTCACCGTTAGAGGCGCGAGCGAATGAGCAAATTTGCAAATAACACGACGGATATTCGGGATAGAGACCTGACATTTTCACTAAGAGTTTTTCCAGATTCTACTTTATATACTGTTAAAATTTCAGTCAGATAAGTTACTTATTGTGGAGGTGTATAGTTGACAAATATACATACATACATACATACGCTGACTTATATATATATATATATAGGGATATTAATATAAATGAGTTTGAAAAATTGTAAAAAAAAGGGATCGGCCGGAAACGAACACGGGCCGCTCGCGTGGCAGGCGAGCATTCTACCACTGAACCACCGATGGTTATAAAAAATGGCCATATTTGGGTATTCATTACATTCCTAAAAGCAAACGGTGACAGAATTAAGAATTGATTGCTGACTCTGATACTTGTATATTTTAATGAATTTTACTGTATAACATGGTATCTTATTTAACAATGAATATTTGTGTTTGTCTAAGTTGGACGAATTATCTTGGTGAAAATATCGTCGAAATTAGACAAGTAGTTTTTTCTGCTTTAATAGTCTGTACCAAAGGTACTCGAAAGAGTCCAAAATTTGCATTTATTATTATTTTTTAAATTTGTGTTATTTCCTTTTCCTTAATCGAATATATTTAAATCTAAGCGGGCTTTATACAATGAGATCCATAAGGGATCAAATGGAATCTTCATAAGCTGCTAAATATATGTTTAGTTGGCAAAGTGATTAGTCCAAATCTATGGGCAAAATATAGATTGAAATTTGTTTGGGAAAGATTGATCTATTAAAATAAAGTTCGTTCTTTTTTCAGTCAAAGCTAGACGCCATCTATTGACCGTCGCCTCAAACTAGCGGCCTCCGGCTCTGAACTGACGAAGGCCATTAGCCTGAAACCATATTTTCCGTTTTCTTCTCAGTTTTTAAAGCTGCTGTCGTGGCTTTATCACTGACAGAGGCCGTTAGGTTCCAACGAGGGTCATTAGATAGCGTCTAGTTTTAACGGGAGAGGCGACCTTCAATTTTATAGATCAGCCTCCTCCCGGAGAAAAAAACCCGATATATATATGTGGTAAAATATTAGGGTGGGTAAAGAGAAATAAGGACACCACAAGTTTGGAAGAGGAATCCCAGACAACCAGAGAGAGATAGACGGGCCTGCCACCGCTGAGCGGCCGGCCGTTCGAGTCGTACACATTCACCTACTGTCTTAATTCCCGAGAACTCACGGGCCCCTCTCGTCGCCCCCCTTGGAATGTCCTGCTGTCTCAAGTGACCGGACTTTACCCTCCCGTCTCTCTCTGGGTCGACTGTAGGTTTGCTTTATTATTCCTGGAAGAGCATATATTATGACATATGGCCCCCGTTGAAGAAGGCTGAACATGGTTTGAGTATACTCAAAGCTGGAGAAGCCAGGAATAGAGAAAATAATTTTACAGTTGAAATATATTAAGGTTATTGTGACATAGTTTTATGTAAATAAAATATTGTATAGTACACAAGTAAATATTATTTACAAACAGTTTTACAACAACGGAGAGTTTGATATTCAAGGGAATTTTTGATAATATCAAAGCTATAAAAGGCTATATACAATAACATCTAATGTATTATAAGGGAAAATATATTGAGGAGTGTGAACAAGGAGAAGGGGAGTCACATACACATGGTGAAATTCTGAAGGTCATTAAGACTGGGTAACTCTACACTTTAAGATATTTTTCAGGCGGACATGGCAAGGGGAAACTTGGCATGGGCTTTTATGCTATAGGTGTAGAGTACGAGAAATGAGGTTGAGGTTGGAAATTGTGTGAGCTCAATACTGAGGTAAATATAGAACTACATACAATGTTAGAATTTTGGCGAACAGAGCGAGGGGATACTTGCTTTGGGCCATTCTACCCTATCTATGCAGTTACTTGTGTAGCGAGTCCGAGGGGGGAAGTCCCGTGTGTAGGTGAGGAAGTCGCATGGACTTTTAGTTAATTTGAGAAGATAAAATAGTTCGAGATACAAAGGTAGAATTTAAGCGAACAGAGCGAGGGAAAACTTGCTTTGGGCCTTTCTACCTTAATTATTTCGATACCATGAGACTTTAGTAGTTCTAACTAATTGGAGGAAAGTATGCGCGCACAGTGCCAAAAATTGGGACGAGGACGACGTTGTCCTTTACAATTTACAAGCTTCTCGTACACGAGGTGTTTGAACCGTCGTGGTATCTTGTGCGAGGAGTTGATTTCGCGACGGGTTGAACGTAAAACCCATGTCTGCGCGAAATGATAACGGAGCGGACAGAATCAGCGACGATGTTTAACGTACCTCCGTGGGAAATATGGGAGGTAGGATATATCGTGCTGGTATGGACAAGGGACAAACATAAATTTGAAGACAGGGTCCGGGTGGCGAACGTGTGGCGCGAGGAGAAGGAGCGAACTGTGCCGCTCGATGCAGATTGTTCAAGTGCGAACAAAAAGGAGTTGATAAACATCTAGCAGTTAGTCAATCTGCACCCTGTGACGAACACATCAGTGGCTAGATGGTGTGGGTCGGTGGATATGCTAGAGAGAAATTCTGCAAAATATATTATCGTAAATGAAGAGTGGAGATTAGTGGTAAAAGTAGTTCGATAATTGACAACTCATTAATTCTCAAGAGGGGCATGGACTGGTAGAAGGTTGACAAAGTTATAAGGATGAGTGGGACATTAACGGGAAGATTGATAAGGTTACTATGGGTTGGTTGTAAGCAAGGCTCACTTGGTGGTTGGAATTCTTCGACGCCTGCCCTAACAGAATGAATTATAAGTCGTTTGGGGCAAGGAATTATATTTCGTGAGCCGTGCTTACAAGTAGGAGAGAAGGTCATATACAAAAGGGTACAAATGTTTATGTACTGGAGCCCTATTGTGAATGAGCACTATTATGAAAATTGATTGTTATTATTAAAAATCGTAAAGTATGCATAGATAGAATGCCAATTTTAAGGAATGACTTTAAAATAGAAATATTTCACACAATAAAAAGACAATTATATTAAATTAGAATGGTAAGGTTACTAATCCAGTGGGTTTCACATAGCTAGATATAGTATGATAATAAGATCACTGTTAATAGGCGTGGAAAATTAAACATTTTTACATATTCACACAAATTGAACTAAACTAATTATGTAAATATTGGCACCAGAGTCTACAAGGAATGACTTATTTAAAGAATAAATATGCTAGGGGTGGAAACAATTACAGTCACAGGTTATGCTGGTTGAGGGCGCAAGTAGATTCATTAAGTTCATTGAGGGAGGTTTCTTTCTGCTGATATTGTACGGGACAGTGTTGTTCGCCACAGTAGTGTCAGGGATATGGCGGAGTCTTGTCCATGATGATGGAAGGTGTCCTGCTCTGGCGCGGTGATCGTTCTTGGGCAGATCTAGTGCTGGGAGAAGCGTGCGGCAAGTTCATCTCCGTCGTAGGTGATCACATCTTTCGGATCACGGTTCAAGAGTTGGCCGAGGCAGAGGGTGAGAGCTCGAAGAGAAGTGGCTACAGTTGAGTTGGTTGTGAATTATTGTGGAACTTGGTTGTGGGTTTGTCCAATCACGATGGCTTTGCTTCTGGTTTTCTTCATATTCTACTATTATTTCCCGGCCAGGTCTTATCCTGTCGACTTTTTATGTGGTAATATATTAGGGTGGGGAAAGAGAAATAAGGACACCACAAGTTTGGAAGAGGAATCCAAGACAACCAGAAAGATATAGACGGGCCTGCCACCGCTGAGCGGCCGGCCGTTCGAGTCGAACACATTCACCCACTGTCTTAATTCCCGAGAACTCACTGGCCCCTCTCGTCGCCCCTTGGAATGTCCTGCTGTCTCAAGTGACCGGACTTTACCCTCCCGTCTCTCTCTGGGTCGACTGTAGGTTTGCTTTATTATTCCTGCAAGAGCATATATTATGACATATATATATAGATGGAAAATTTGTCGGGAGGAAATTAATCCATGGAAGCATTGTTGTTCCCCGTTGGCCGACCCAAAACATTTGTACATGATGTAAATACGCTTTTCATTTTTTTTATTCTTACGCCTTAAGCCAGGCAGTAATTTTACCAAGTTATGTTTATCCTATAGCTTAATTAAAACAATATCTGATCAAAACCATTTTTGTTATTATACTTTCACAAGATTTTAGCCATGACTGCACCACCATAACATAATCAACCAGATGATCCAAAACAACAAAAATCTTATTTTTTAAATTTATATATAATATTACAACAGAAATCTTACCTTTCTATTATTAATATATGTAGTAATCCCGAGGTGGAATGTACTGGGCAGTCGTGGTAGTGGGTGAGTGATGGGATTCCCGCACTGTGACAGCAAAAGACAGAGGCAGGTCTAGATGGTAACTCCAAGAAGGTAGAGGTAGACCACGGACGAAGACAGTCGGACCACGGGCGTCACGGATGCCCTACATCGCGGATAGGGGTGAGAAACCCGACCGTATGACGGCGTCGCTCTGAAAACCAACTAACTAACTAATAACTTTGTCCCATCTTGGGGGGCTTTTATATTGGACGCTCGCAGATGGCGGCGAGTTCTGATTGGCTTCCGTAATCACGCCACCTGTCAGGCGCCGGGTTATTTATTATGTCTGGCCACCTGTTCGGCCACCTGCTGACGGGGGGATTGAACTCATTATCATAAACACCTGTTCGTCTGGTCCATGGCGTCGTCTGGACTACCTTTACCTCTTTATTTTATTTGTCATTTTGTTACAAGTTCGATACACATTTTATATAGATATGGGGTTATGATAAATATTATAAGAAGGTTGTGCTCTATCTACTTCAAAATATACTGCAGAATGTGTCCCCGGTGATGAAGGTTTGGTTGGGGGAATGACATGTAATGAATGATAACCTAACAAACCTATTATAAAAAAATAAAAGAAATAATTTGTATACAAATTAGTTAAAATTATTATGAAGTTACAAGTTAAAAAGAGAAAGATGTTGTAAGGGTGGTGTATCAATAAAAACGTACAAAATGAATGATAAAAGATTAAGAGAAGGTATATAATACAAAATGGTAACTATGGTAAAATGAATCGTACAAGGAAAATAATATCTTATTGTATTAAAGATGAGAGAAAAAAAATGAAGTTAGTTTATTGACTGAACTTATAATGTGACGCTAAGGTTGAAAAAGGGAGAGGGGGTATCTGAGCATGTTTCTGCAAAAGTAGTATCCCAAGCATCCTGCAATACAATGCGAACTTGTTTAAGTGAGGCATTGTTTTCATTAACAGAAGGCCTAAGATAT